TAGTACTAGTATACGTATAGTACGTAGTACGTGTAGTACTGTAGTCTAGTACGTACTGTAGTGTATGATGTATGAGATGTGANGTGCTGCTCTACTACATACATGGGTGTGGGAGGGTCTCATAGGATCATTACTCAATAATCTATTATTATGAACCATTGTGGTAATGAGTATGTCCAAACAAGCCGCAAGATTATTTATTTTTGATACGAGAAGCTCAATCACACATAACCTTTAGGCATAAAATTGAGTAGTTGTGAATGTGTCATTGACTAGGTTTAAATTAAAAAAATAATAATGAGTTCTTGAATTTTGTGATACACCTCTAGCTGCCAAAATTCACATTTTATGGCTAGAGATGCGTATGATATTGTTCAACAAAAACAAAATCTAAAAAAAAAAAAAAAACTCAAAATTTTTGCCATTTCCCTAATTGTTAATATCACATGTGATAACTAGATGTGACTTGTAATATTCTAGTATCCAAAGTAAATAGTCTTGTAATATGCAACCCCTTCTTAAGAGAAAGTATACAATTCGATCATTTACTATTTGTAGTATACAGTAAGATCATTCTCTTTTGTATAAGAATGTCACAATCATTCTTAGTTGTTTAGACACGAAATTATGTGATAAACTCTTAACCATCGAGGTTCACATCTAATGATTTGGTGTTACTTTGACCTTCTTGTCCCAAAGTAAATAGTCTTATAGTCGCCTCTCCTCTTAAGCTTTGTGTAGGTTATTTTCTTGTAAAAATGGCAAAAGTAAGATTTTCACTTTTCTAGTTTTGAAGTCCAGACTATTTGGCTTGGCAATTACCGTTTAGATTGCTACAGGCTACAAAATAAATCAGAATTATAGCTCTATCCCAATCAAGAAGACATGCAACACACACTTTATTATCTACAAAGAAAGGCAAGCATTTGGAAGGCATTTTGTTGCAGTCTTTGGGTTATGGGTTTGAGCCCAGCTTAAACTACAGCCACCAAAAGAAAGAAAGGAAAAGGAAAAAGAGTTACATGATGTGATAGAAATTTAACATTTAATTGAGTAAGTGTATCAACATGCTTTGTATCATCAGTCAAACGAGCTCGAGAAACAATATATGTAATGTACTTAAGTTGTAAGTAAATACCCATGAGAAGAATAAGCAACCTCTAGGAGCAAAAATATTTTAAAAATTCAAAATCTTTCATCTCAAAACACTGACTAAGTTGTTTCTTGATAAGATGAATGGTGGCCTCATCATCACCAGATATATTCATATCATCAACATAGAGTAAGAGAATTGCACGTCCTTTGGGTGTGGCTGAGACAAATAGAACTAAAATTTTTCAAACTAAGCCGATGAGCTTGTTTAAGATCATAGAGTGTGGGCCGTAGTCGACAAGCTTTATTGTCACGATCTGAAGCCTCAAGAGGTAACTTCATATAAACTTTTTATGTAAGATCGCCATTAAGAAATGCATTTTGATATCGGGTTGATATAACGGCTATTGGCGAACATCAGCCACAAAAATTAGAGTGCAAACTATAGTCATGTCGGCAACAGGAGCAAAGATTTCAGTAAAATCAATCGCAAATTGTTGATTATAATCTTTAGCCACAAGTCGTGCCTTATAGTGATCAATACTGTCATAAGCTTAAGTTTTGATTTTGTACACCCACCAGCAGCCAATAACACTTTTATCTTTATGAAGATGGACAAGATCCCAACCATGTATCCTATTCAGGGCCGTCAATTCTTCTACCATGGCATGTGGCAACTTCTTCATAAGTCTGTGACTCATATTACGAATGAACAAAAGCAAGAAAGGCTTGATAGTTTGGTAAAAAATTGAGTTTCAATGTATGGAAAAAAAAATCGGACAAAAATGTCATATTGTCCACTAGATTAAACATAGAAGCAGAAATTGAATTGTTGCAATTGAATGGCAATGCATGCATTTTAGAGATTTTGCACAACCCACAATCTTTAACTGTAGAGAGAGTTTTAGAAGAAATAGAATCAACAATACCACGAGAAAACAAAACTTCTAATCGAGAGGTAGAAATATGACCTAGATGTTGATGCCACAAACATCCTTTGTAAGGTGTTGTAGCACAAATAGAAGTTTCAGTGAGATTTTTTAAATGAAGATGGTCCAAATAGTAGAGATTGCCAAATTTTTGCCCAATTCTATTCATTTTTCCTGACTTTCGATCTTGCAGATGACATCCAAATGGTGTGAACACAACATATATGCCCATGTCCCATTCATTTTCCCTGACTGTTGATCTTACACATGACATCCAAAAGGTATGAACACAACATTACAATTAGAACGGGTAATCTTACCAACAAAAAGCAAATTCATGGCAATAGAGAGAACATGATACACATCAGAAACACTCAATTTACCAGAAAAATTAGAGGATCTAATAATTGAGCGAACCTTATAAACTTTCATAACTGTACTGTCAACAATGCTAATAGTATCAAAACACTGTTTACAGTCAACAAGAATAGATTCATTGGCTGTTATATGGCAAGAAGCACCACAGTCTATTAACCAGGAAGTTGAAACATTATTACATGAAAAAGTATATGAAAATTTGTTAGGCAATTGGGATTGTGAGAGTAACCATTGGAATTGTTCCATCGTAAGAGTGATTGATGAGGAAACGGCACCAACAGCCTGTGGTATTATACCAATTGCTCCAGTACCAGTACCAGTAGTCATGATAAATTGCTAGGGAAGAATACCTCTAAAGGCTTACTTGACGCAGCAGTTATCGAGCCAATGAATTTTTATTTTTTTTCTAATGAATTTTAAGAGGCCAAAATATTTTCAATTCCAACATCACACAGTTTATGAGGATATCTTGCAAATCAATGTCTCTTATTTGTCTCATATTAGGCTCACAACTTGTAGAGCACCAATCTTGACAGCTTCACTGTGGAACTTCATACAGTTTCCGAGGTTAAAGGGCTAAATGGTGAAACTTTATTTCTCTATCAAAAGAATGGGTTTACTA